AGCGTCTGTGCTTGCAGACTACTATACCATTCTATACAAGTTGCAATGTATTTCCATATGCACTACTGGGTCTGAATCATACAACTACACAGACTTGAATAAGCACATCGCGACACATACGCATATTGATTTGTCAAACTGGCAAATCAGAGTCTGTGTTTGAAGACTACTATGCCATCGTTTACTCGTAGAACGCGAATCGTGCACAGTAGATGCGAATACATGTACATTTCGTATGGGAAGTAGCAGAGAAATCACAAGTCCACGCGCATGCGCACATGGGGTATTTGCCCTCTCGAGTACGGAAAAAAAAATTCGCGGCCGGGATTTTATCGCATATTTTTCACGATTTAGTCTATTCGCGATGTCCCTTCAGGGCCACCATAGGATGCAGGTAGTCCGACAAGGCCTTGTACAATATACATACCCTACTTCGAGTAGACAGCAGGTCCGTACAAAGTTTGATATTCATATTCTAATATCACTATTTTTAAGGTGTCCGATAGAATTAAGTCATAAGTGGACATTTGAAGAGTAAAATTCACTGCTGGCTCCTGGGCAGGATGATTTTTCTTTGAATTGAATAACTTATGTGAAATACATTATTTTGTCCTAGCACTTGAACTAAATAAAGCTAAATAATTGATACGCTTTGGCAAATATTACTCATCGAAGTGAGCTATATCGCTGATGATCCCCGCTACAATTCTTCTTTTTTCGACGAAATCTAACCATCTTCTCTTATAAGACTAATGAAAGAGAAACACCCCTCCTAGCAACGTACATAGACAATAGGGAAGATGCAAACTTTTTAAATTGTTTATTGGGTTGGGATAAATTTGAAAGCAATAATAAATATCGAATAACTCACATGTCTTGGTTGCTGTCTTGTGATGTATCTGCCATTTATACAATTATACAATTATGTTTTGTAGCCACATAGTGACGGCACTTTTGATACCCCGGTGACTGTTTTTGATATGATTATGGTATTAATATGAGGATCTAGGAATAGAAGCTAGTTATTGTGACGCGGATGTGTTGCGTTGTGACGTATGCGCGTAACGACCTTTTGCGCTAGTCCATTGATGACGTAACAAAGGTGGATTACAAATTAATTTCAATAATTGATCCTCATTTACAGAAGTACACGTATGAAAAATGTATAATTTCTTTGTTCTACTATAGCATATATGTTTTTTACAGTTGTCTTTCGAGCTCTCAAACATGCATTAAACGAACAGATGATTGCTCAAACAGATACACAGGGGCGCCATTAAAACGAGGGCGGGAGGATGAGGGTGTCGGACTATTTTGTTTTTAATAGTTTGCCAAATTTCATCACAAAGATTTTTTTTTAAATAAATGTACAGACAAAATAAAAGAAGGGTCCTAAATATCAACATCGTCGATACTTTTGAATTTAAAAGGGCAATCCTACCGACTTTGCACTAATTTCATTTGTATGAAGAAAAAAAATAAGATAAACACTTGAACAGTAATAATGAAAGTTTGAAATAAATCGGACCAATAATTTTTAAAAAAGTTTTGAATGTTTGAAATATGAGATCACCAAGTATTTGGCAATTTGGTCGGTGGATTGTGACGCACTCGCGGATTACTATGATGTTAAAAATATCATCAATTTCTGTTTTTTATCTTTAGTACCTTTTCCCTTGAGGCACTTCTCAAATTGTATTATGGATAGCATATTATGGGTCCTATAAAGAGAATAGACCCTCCCGAGTTTTCATTTTTTGAAAACTTGAAATGTTATTGATTTTGTGTGATGGAATAAATGAGAAAGTTGTCCGCCACTATTATCACAGAGACTAATTTGGAGAGCCCATGTCTATAGTGATATCAACTTTCAAGAATTCATAACTTTCTCATTTTTGGGCCGATTTCGAGTCATTCAAACTTTCACCATTCTACTTCTCTGATTTTTTCTGCTTTCCTCTAGAGTAGTTTGCTATCAAGTTTGGATTTCCCTTTAATGATGATGACATTGTTGAATAGGATATGTCCGCCTTGCCCCTCCTAGCTGTGATGTGTCTCTTATTACAAACCTGATGAGCGCTATATGCTGAATCAGGGGAACCACGTATGTTTATTTACATACATCATTTTATTCAATGTTTTCCATTTTTTGAAAAAAGTGAATGAATGCTCTCTCCTTTTCATTACACCATTTAATCGGAATCTACAAATAAAGAGTAGGTAACACATAAAAATGCTGGTCACTAGTGATTAATATGTTTATTAATGCTTTGATTTCTTCATTTAAAATTACATCATCATCATTCATGAATAAACGGAATTCCGTCATTTTCATTTATCCGACAATACATTTTTTCTACTATAAACTAAACAGGACTGCATTTAAAAATCGACGATGTTGTTTTTACAATGAATATAAACAAAGTAGGGATTTTTTTAGAATAAAGAATATTTCATTAAGATAAACACAGGGGTGATAGTGAGCACTAAAAAAAAAAGGTTTTTTGTTTTCCCCTCAACCACGCCCCCCTTGAGAAAAAAAAAGAAAGAAGAGGATTCGCGGGGAAAACATGGCATCTAACGACATTCCCCCTTTTCGAGTAAGAAAATTGGGGGAAAAATAGGGCAAAATAGGGAAGAATAGAGAAAATAAGAGGAAAAGAGGAAAAGCGGGAGAATCAGGATAAAATAGGGAAGAAAAAAATTGGTAAAAAAAAAAAAAAATCTGGATTATTTATTTATTTATTTATTTTTTTTTTTTTTTAATCGGGAAGAAAAAAAATCGGGAAAAAAAAAAAATCGTGTTTTTATCAGGCCTGTAAACACTACATCGTACAGAATAAATGGTGGAAATTCATTGAACTGAGGGTACAAAATCACAGATTGTGGGAACTCAAATCGGAAAAATTGAGCAGTGCTTCCTTTTCAACTAATATTCTTTAAATATTACAATTACAATATTCGATAAGGATTATTTTTCTTTGTACGCCGTAGGGCCAGAGGGAAAGAAATATATATTCCTAATAAAACATGCACAATCACAAACTGAATATACAAGATAACTATGACATAAATTTACTAACTGTGACCAATTTTTTAATTTTTTCTCTTCCTTTTAACCCTTTGGGCCTAGTAAAGGAAAGTGCAAGATGTATACACACAAAAAACGGAATTGCTAATGAAATACCAAATGAAAGATTTACTGTAAAAAGATCAGCAAAACAATTATATTTGATTCTAAAACTATACTGTTGGGTATTTATAAAAGAGAAATTTAATATGCTACATTTTTCATCTATTGTATAATAATCAATAGTACATACACCATTCTAATAATGATGTAAAATCAATTACAGTTATGTTTTGTACCACATTATTCAATGTACTGTTTGAACTGTACTGTATGAGCCTTTAGTACTCCACATAGTGGATTTGGCACTATATAAGTTACATTTATTATTTTTATTATTAGTTTAAATCCTTTTTGCTTTTGACCAAAACCTACAAATTCTGATCATAATGTGATCAGAATTTGTAGGTTTTGGTCATAAGCAAATAATTTATTGTCCGTATAACACACAATGTGGTTTGGTTTCGATCTGAATACTTCTGGAATACAATCAACACAGCACTTGAAAGTGAAAATCCCTTCAATTTAAATATTTTTATCAGCACAATTATATGAATGAACTGATCCTCCCTCTGAAAAATTAAAACAACACACAACAAAACATTACCTAGCGCATGTACATTAAATACAACTATGAGCTAAATATTCAGAAATTTGGCAAAAGTATATAGAAGCGAATATATATAGCTTAATTTTCTTTTTCACACTTGTATATACACATTTATATCAAATACAAATGAACTTCAGGGAACCAAATTATCTCCACATACATCTGTCTGTATCTTGTAAATAAGATTACTTTATTTTTGTCTAGAATGGTTTAAAATTCATTCATACATACAAGAGTTTATGAAAAAAAATGAATATTCTCTTACTATTCCAGGGCTTTAAATGCCTCTGATTTTCACAAATGAATTTTGTTTAACTACAAAATGGGATATTTATTGTAGTTAAAATAAACAAAAAACTTTAAAATCTATGCTCTCAAAAAAGTTCATCAATATAAAGTTGGAGTTTAAGTAAAAAAAATATATTGGTATATAATAATTCAATACTATGTGCTATAAATAAAGGTAATTCTTACGACAAGATTTAATTGGCATTACATTATAAATTATTCTCATCGGACATAAAAATCACAGTGTACAAAATAAAACTGAGATAATTTCAGTACTGTGTAGAATATTCTGCATTTAATACTAATACTACTACTACTAATAATAATAATGGGTTCTTGTATAGCGCTTATATCTGTCAGACTTGACACTCCTGGCGCTCCCGATTATTACCCTGGCTTTAGTATGGCTGCCATTAAGGCGCTCTAGCATTTCAAGGTATTAAATCCTGCCAGGTACCCATTTAAATCACCTGGGTCGAGTGTGACAAATGTAGATCAATGTCTTGCCAAAGGACATTAGTGCCGCGACACTTCTACTATTCGACTCAAATCACCAAAGAGGAAATTGTATCACGTAATACTTCCCTTATCCTCGAACTTGTTGGTTGGTTTGTTTTACCTGACTGCTATTACAGAAAGCACGCATCTGCTTGTAAGTAAGCAACCAGGGGACCGACGGCTTTAAGTCCTCTCCGAGGGACTTGGAAAAAAGGATTAATGCCTTACCAAAGGGCACTAGCGCATCGACTTAGTTTCGAACCAGGACCTCCCGGTTACGAGATCACTACTATACCACTAAGCCATCACGCCTCCATGTATGAGAACTCTGCTTTTCTCTAGACATAATTGCATTTTTTAAATATAAATCAAACAGAATACTGGCACACATCTAAATATAAATCTAAAGGTGGTTTATTTTTAACCCGATACCAGTGATTTACAAATGTTCCCGAAATGACATGATTTCCGCGGTATTTTTCTCACTTTTTTGTAAGTTATACCTTTTTTTTCTTTCTTCTGCCCGAAAAAGTTTTTGCTTGTTAGGCCACTGGCACACACTATAATTAGTTTATTACAATCATCTGGCTTACACAACCTTGTATAGACTAGGAATACATTATCAGCTGATTACATTTAAATATCCACATTCCCAGTATAAAGCATATCTTTGGAATTCATCATTGGCACTTATTTGTAGCTTGAAAATAAATTTGTGACTCAAAAATATTATCAATAGGTTCTATCACACACCCGCTAAATAGATATATTCCTTTCCTACAAATCACATAAAAATACATATATTTTTTAATTTATATAATTCGCTCTATAGCAAAATAACATCTCATACATCTCTAGAACATATGTATCATCTCACATGAGAGAAGATTGAGCAGGAATGCATAGTTTTTGCATACAAGCAAATACATTTGAATGATTTATCATTGCTAATCGTTATAACAAGGTATGTAAAGATCACACACTTAATTGTGCCATGTAGATGCACCATTGCAACTCGCTTAGGATAGCATGCATGTACCTCTTAATAGTACTTGTACAAATGACATTTCTAAAGAGAAAATCAAAGTTATGAACTTGCATTAATTTAATTTTCTTTTAAAAGCTACTAGGGGAAAAATGGGAAAACAAGGAAAACTTTCAGGCTGAACTTTTCCCCCAAAAGAAATTCATATCTTTTAAGATTGCATGAAGCCTCACACCAATATCTTTTGTCTTTCATTGTTTTCTTCATTCCTTTGGCAAATACAGCAAAAGAAAATAAATTGACAGCAGTTATCTACAACTTTCTCTTTGGGGTAATAATTTTTTCAATCTAAATCAATGTGAATCTACTTCATATCAACCAAAGGCCAAGTAAATGCAATGAAGAAGTACTTTGAATGTCACATCTGAACTATTAACTTTGGACTTTTTTAAGCTTTCTAAGTTCAAGTACAACATACAAAAATACCTTTTTAATGATCTACAAATCCCCTTTGATATTAGAAATAAAAAAGTTTCAGAATACTAGTACCACCCCTAGGACCATTTTTTTTTGGCTACATGAAGCTAGTTAGACAAGATCAAGTGACTTAGACTTGAGAGACTTAGGACGGGACATACTACCATCTTCATCATCATCAGAGGTGTCCTTGTCCTCAGGTGACCTAGGGCCATGATTTGCATGGTACCATGCACCATCACCTGCGCCTTCATTACTGGACAATTCTCCTGGTAATGACAGATCAATGTTAAGGACTTCAGTTGATAGGGATGCAGATGATTGATTGACAGGATTACTAGTCCCTTGGAGTTGCTCATCATCTAAGGGTGTATTTGCACTGGTTGGGGCGGTTGTCTCTGCTTCAGGTGCAGGTGCTGCAGATTCCTCAGCTATTTCGCTGAGAACACAAAAATTGACCAAAAAATATTTATAAGTATCAGATATTATGGAACAATGATGCATGAAAGTGAGTCATCTCAATTCATGTGGGTCTATTTGGTCTATTTATTTCAGATGAATATAAAACTGACTTTTTAAAATAATTTTTCTTCTTCAAATTACACACATGCTTATGTGATTTTACACAAAAACAAAAACAGGCTTCATAAAAAAAATAAAAACATGATAACCCTGGTAGATTTTCATATGCAAAAAGTATATTTTTTTGCTATTTTCTATCGTAATTCCCAAAAGACGAGACTATTTTACTTTCTTAGAAATCAAAAATGGACCCCAGAAAAAATATTTTCAGACTAAGGATTTGAAACAAAAGGAAGATGGAAAATTTATTCAGAGTTAAAGATAGAAATAAAAAATCAAACAAAATCTGTGCTTTAAAAAAAAAAAAACTTTATTTGACTAGGGAATAAATATATACCCTACTACCTGGATGTCATATACTGTAATTCATGCACAAGTAGCACAGGCAAAAAGTCTGAAAATAGGTTTAATGGAGGTGTATGTCTCTAACATGAATCTCTCATGCTGGTTTTCACAATGTCACCTCTTGATATTACCCACACATACCAGGGGGACACATGCATGATGTCTTCCATATGAAGACAAATATATGTGTGGGGGAAGATATGTGAGATGACTGACTTTATATGTTTGATAAACATCAAGTACATTTAAATCAACTACAAGGAAAATAACCTACCCTTGTATCTCACTTTGTGACGATCGCACAGAACTTTCTTCATCTGTAAAAGACACAAACAAAAATTGAAATAGAAAACATTCTTTGTCTCAATAAATATGACTATTGTGTAAATATTTTATTTAAAAAAATGAAACTTAAATACATTGCATGTGAAAGTGACTTTCCTTTTTATGTCAGTAGAGCAACAATTTTTTAACATCAGCAACTCCAGCAAAAATAATCACACTTCTGAAACAATTACAAATTGATGTGAATTTTTGTACATCAGGATTTAGGCATCTGTAGATTTTGCAACTGATCTGCGTGTCATCTTTGACAATAAACAAAGTTTTTCACTTCACCTGTCATAAAGACTGGGACAAAGTCTGATTGGATATATAATAAAGTTAATTTAATATTAGACTCCATCAAAGATTTTAAAATATGGTCTTAAACTCTTTAAGATTAAAAAGAATTCAGTAATTACTTTTCTATTTTGCCGCTTGCTTTCTTTCTTTTATCTACAGCTCAAAAATAATTCACTTCATGTAAAAGAACAACTTCCACATCTGGGCTGATGAAAAATATGGTTAATGATGTAAGATAGAGGCCCACTTATGCAGAGCTAGGGTAGCAATGATTTCAGGCAGGCAGGAACACAGCTATGAATTTAATCCTAGCCGTTTTAATAGTAAGACGGTGAGTTACTTGCCATTGGTAGGTGTCATACTGTCGTTTTGGGGCAAATCTTCATATGCTGCATTTGGGAAAGTGGCAGTTTTACTGGGCAATTCATTTTCAGAAGCTGAATCTATGAAAAAAGAATGGAGAAAAATGAAACAAATGTCAATAAGTTCCAAAAATAATAATTCTTAAAACACATCAATTAGCAAGTTTATGGATTAAAGTCCTACACTTTCTGAATACCTATTTAGAAATCTGGAATATTAAAATACATTTGGCATTAATTAAGTTGCATTATTAAAAGAATTATATTTGGTTTCCCAGTGTAAAGAGTGTTCACATAAATGTTACAATTTATAAAAAAGCTTTAATAAAACTTACTATCTGTTGCTTTCCATTTCTTGTATGCCAGACAGGCCAGTGATATGACGCATATTACTATCACAGTAACAATAGCTATTATTCCAAACACTGAGAACTTTTTGATAGGTGAACCTTCTTCTGAAATTAAAATATAGATGTGAAAACAGCATGAATATAGATGGTCTAATAGATATGAGAGAGAAATGTTACATATTCATCAACAAAAACAAAATCATGCTCCTGACTGCACCATTCTGTACATTCTATGAAATCTATCCTTCCTATCTACTGAAGATCAATGAATTCTGGCATTAAAAAGAATACAATTTAAAAACTGACTATATCTTCTTGACTTGCTTTCATAAATTTGATACAACCAATTCAACCTACCGGTATATCATATTTTTTCTCTTCGATATTATCATCCTGCAAACAATAACAATTAAGTATAATTAGTTAATGATTAATTTCTTTGATAATATATTTTTCTTCTAAAATTTCAGATCTTCTTGGATCTTATCAGTTCAGTGTGCACTGAATAGAAAATGATTTTTTAAGTGCATACATGCATGTATAGATATCTATATATGGTACATCAAATGTGAAACTGGTTTAAGTATGTAAAAGATTTTTCAAGAGGCATATAGTGAAAGAAAACGAAAAGAAAGAACTAGCTCGTTGGATAGACCTACTATCATAGTCATTAGTAGTGTTGTGTGCCGGTGATGACAAAGGTGATGTGGTTGTGGGTGCTGACTGATTGGGTGATGAGGCAGTGCTGGGCTTTATGGTGGTAAGTTGCTGGCAGTCATTGTGGGATGGGTCATTCTTACATCCAACACATATGTTCGGATATAAATAATAGTTTCTGAAAGATTCATTAAGGGAAATGATTAACGCTAAAGTGCGACAATTAATCTACAATTTTAGAAATGGTCTACAAATGAGTCTGTCCTATTAAATTATGCACTTGTCATTTGTAAGACGCACCTCTTGACCCCCGGGAATGGTGCGTCATTGTACCGATGTGAGTCGTACATTTTGATACCATGACGCACCTTCCGTCACAGAAAGTGACACACCATTACATTCCATCGACGCACATTTGAGTCAAACATATGACACACCATTTCATGAAAATGACTAGCCAATGACGCACATTTGAGAAACACTTCTGCTTGGAGAAAGTGACGGTCCCATTGACACACCAAATGACGCAACGTGGTAAAGTGACTTACTATGACGCACATATGGGTCAGTATTGTGACGGACATTTTGCGGCCATGACGGTACTGTGCGTCGCGATTTTGGGGAACATGACGCAACCATGACGCACCATTCCCGGGGGTCAAGAGGTGCGTCTTACAAATGACAAGTGCATTAATCTGTGACGTGTTTTATATTTTATAATGAAATTAGAGCACAGGAGTAATGTAGCAACTTTATGTATTTTTTACAGACACTTTTTTTCTCCAGCCTCCCTTGGAACTGGGTAGTATTCTTCCTCCAGTGTCATCCATATACACGGACAACATAATCTTCTGTGACTCACATCCATACCCTAGCTGTTGCCACCCACAGGTCTCGTACAGAGCTTCATCAATGTGCTTACATACCAAAGTGCATCCGATCATGGAACTCTGATCATGGGCCTGAAATTTGAAAATCCTGTGTTTTTTTTGCCCCCGGAATTGTGAAAATTGCACTGACTGATATTTTGTTTATTAAGGGGGGGGGGGGGGGGAGGGGAAGCACATATTTTATTTTATTTTGGGGTCAACATGGGTGGGGGAATGAACGCACCATTTTTGTTTCAACACCCACCCCTCTCCCCCCCAACCCACTTGAGCAAAAGTTGTATAAAAAATTTACTTTTTTTTTTGCCAGGGGGGGGGGGGGGGGGGGGGCGGCCAGTTTTTAAATGTTTTGTTTAAAAATGGTAATATTAATGTTATCTTTTTTGGGGGCCAATATTTTGCTCAATGGGGGGGGGGGTAGAAAGCCCATTGGCACCCCCATGGATCCGCGCCTGCTCTCTCTTAGCATCTTTCCCTCTGCTGCACCAAACATAGACATGCAGATTCAAAAATGTAATCTGAACATTGTATAAAGAAATGTTATATAAATAATGCAATGCTTGTTTGGGCATTATTTTAAATGAAAAAGCGATAAAGAATCAGCAACCTAGTTCATAAATTGTATAACTGGGCACTTACATGTAGCATGACCGTGCACTCATGGTTGGCTGCCATGTCAACTAATGTATCTTTATATGATTTTGTTATCTAGTCTGTACGCTCCTTAATTATGCCATAAAGATCCTTATACAACATTAGGTTAAAGTGTTAGGTTCAGGGGTTAATAAAGAAATATGTGTAGTATTCAATTTTGACCCTCCTTAGGCTAAATGATGATTCTTTACACAACAGTTCTTTTCATGAGTTTTGTATAAATTTCCTATCGTTCTCAACAGGCTATTACTTACCCATTTGGACATGGACCGCATCTTGCATTCTGTGTAGTTGTACAGTTCTGAAGGTACTCGACAGTCGGATCACACGTCACACAGCGGCTGCATACAAGCTAGTATAGCCTTCCCCCATCTGAAAGAAGCCTTCTTCACATGTTGTACAGGGAGTTTTGTATAAATTTCCTATCATTCTCAACAGGCTATTACTTACCCAGTTGGACATGGACCGCATCTTGCATTCTGTGTAGTTGTACAGTTCTGAAGGTACTTGACAGTCGGATCACACGTCACACAGCGGCTGCACACAAGGCCTGTATAGGCTTCCCCCATCTGAAAGTAGCCTTCTGCACATGGTGTACAGGTTGTTTCAACTCCCCATCCGTTGCCACAATGCTGTGGAAAAAAAATGCATTCAGAATACAATTTACGTCATAATAACATTTTTTTTAAACGCTGTTTGCCTCATTATATCTGAATGAGCCTTAAAAATCATCATAAAGTGACACACATATATAACTGTCTCTAATGATATTGGTTGCAATTAAACAATTGCAGTTTTTACTACAAATTATACTCACATCTGCCTCTAATAAGCCTAAAATTTATGTAATGATATGAATGTTAACCATGATTGAATTCACCAATCATCATCCATCTGAAAGAATAATGGAAGATACACTATGTCCAAGCTACCAGTACTCCCAAATGACATGTTTGTTTCTACATGTACCTCCACTACAACCACTATAACAATGAATAAAAGGATTAATGATTATACAAACAAAACCGTCAATGATATGATGGAATAAAATAGGAATTACCATAACAAGTAAAAGTGCTTGTACTTACTTTGTTGGGGGAATGTTCTGTACCCTGGGGACAGAACGTACAGTTCTCGCAAGTAAAAGTAATTAGGCTGAGAAACTGATTCGGTAGACAATCTCCAGGGTCCATAGTCTCTGCAGTCTGCTCAGCCTGTCAAAACACAACATTCAAATTATTCAAAAGATAGGATTTATGTCTGGTCATAAACAAGTACTCTGAGCGCAAAGTTGTCTTTGCAGTTTGCACACAATGGTAATACCAGAAAGGTTATGGGGGACAATATCTCATATTCTCATATTTTCAGAATTCTCAGCTTTAAGTTAGCCCCTTTCTGTTAATCCATTACATTCATAGATAATTATGAGAACTGAATTTAAAAAAAAGTCAAATTTGGGGTTTTAATCATGTCATTGTTAATTTGTTTAAACTATGGAAACAAAGTTCATAATGTATGTACACATTTCTATTTTAGAAAGATATGTATGACATAATTATTTTTAGGCTGACCAAACATACGTTTGCTACATAGTTCAGAATATGACCAGAAGTCATGTTTTATGTTCATTGAACTTGAAAATTTAACAAAACGAATTAATTCAAAGAAAAGCAAACTTTGAAAAAGTTGACTGAACATATTAAAAGAAAAGTTAGAAGAGGACATCTTGAGAAGAAAAAAAACTTTATTATCCTAAATTACTAAAAATTTTCTGAACAAAGCAAGTTGGAGAGGAGCTTGCAAGATTTATCACAGCGTTGCCAATTAGTGTTTTCATGATGACAACTTCAAGAATTTATAACTTTTCTATTTTTAATCAGATATTAATCAAACTTTCTCTAATTTGTTCCTATTTTCACGAAGTGACGGTATATGAGGAAAATCCGCACGCAAATTGTATGCAATTTTCATTCACTACCATCACTTCGTGAAAATAGGGTTGAATTGTTTCTTTTGTTTATCTGCTTTTATCAAAATTGACTTAATATCACGGTGGACTTCCCCTGCAATAATCCTCTCTTTTGCTCCTATACAACATGAGCTTACTTGATTTCTTAGGAGTATACATTCACACATTAATGAATAAATACCTGTGAAATATTTCTAGGTGAAACAGGAGAGCTACAGGTGGCGGGCACCATGAATATAATACTGGCAGCGGTGACAATAAATGTCATCCAACTTCTAATATAGTTAGCCATATTATAAGGTTCTGAAAGTGAAAAAGAGAAATTCATAGAAAAGAAAATATTAACACCTGCAATTCAACTCATCTGGTTCCTAAAATCATTTAGGCAGACTTAAAGGTAGAAGCGAATATCATATAAGGTCAGGTAATTTGCCTTTGAAGCTTTGATTAAAAAAATGATCAGTGCATTCTGGGATGTTTTTAAATTTCATTTCAGTGCGATAAAATATCCTTTAATTTTTTTTGTTTTAAATTTTGTAGGCTGAGAATCATTTTAGCCAGATTTTTATCTCATCTAAGACACACCTTTTTATGTAGAACAGAATCTGGCCGGTTCTTCATGTTATATTCACTAAAATTGATTCAAGCCACCAAAGATGGCGTTATCAACAAACTCATTATACAAATGCACCAGCCCAGTTTTTTGCCGGGCATCCTAATTTAATGATCACGTCATCTTTGACTGGTAGAAAGTAAGTAGGGGGATGGTATGGTTGAGATCAAAATTAAATAGGCCAGATTCTGGACTACTATTTATGATGTGATAAGCAAAAAGAAATGTTAGCTAGATTTCTCTTCATGTTCAGGCACTAGAATCACTCTCTACCGGCCTCTTGCCGTCTTGGGGAAGAGAGTGTAAATGCATAGATTAAATTTTCACCCCTCATGCCTCAAATTGCAAACCTTCTTTTGCTGGGATTTCCATGAAACATGACCAAGGTAGTTTCCAAGGCTTTCAAACACTATAACATAATAAGTTTCATTGCAAGTATACTTAGCAAAACTCTTGAAATGCAATAGTGCTGTAGTCCAACGTTTAACCGTCCGGTATCCGACCGTCCATGGCTCATCCGTTTTCAATTGGACGGTTTTGTTTTCTTGTTTTTTTAATTTTTAATTTTTTAAATCGTTTAACAGAAAACCGTCTGGTTTTGACTGGCGTTTAAACGGAATTGGAGATATCTGTGATGTTACAACACTAAAATTAATGCAATGTTGCTTGAGAAATATCACTGACACTTTTTTGTATTGTTTGTTTATTTTGATCAGTGATCACAGGGCAGCCTAGCAGCATAATTGTCCAAAAAAGTTACACATAGTCTACTATCATGGTACTATTTTGTCCAAGAGGAAAATAGCCCCTTCCCTAGCTACTTAAAGTTTCATTTTAATTTTCTTGTAAGAAAATTAAATATGAATGGTCCCCCACAATTACTATTAGTAAGATAAATAAGGGCATATTTAGGGTAAAAGCGACGGTATCATGTGTGTAATTTTCATGGAAATGCGAGAAATAAGAGATCGAGATGAAAAGCAATCTTGATCAGAATACCAATTCTATTTTAACAATAAAATAAAATAAAATCATACTCAGAATATCATTCCCAGCTTGGCAATCAAATCTACAAGTACATAATAGCCTGGTAAGATTCATCGGGGTCGATCTGCTCGCTTTTTATAAGGACCGCTATTCATTAAGACAAGCGTTATGGATAGCAATCCTTACGAGTAGTGGTCCTTATGTTGTTAATGGTTTGCTCGTTATTTATAAGGACTGTTATTCATAAAGGATCGCTATTCATTTTGTCACGCGTTATATGCCGGATAGCGGTCCTTAATTATGATGATGGTCCTGTAGCGATTCTTATGAATACGGTAGCGAGCTTGACCCGTCCAGGTTCACTGGCTTCAGCAGATGCAGGATCGAACCAGGGATATGTGAGTTTAACTCACATGCCCTGATCGAACGATGTGTATATTTACAACGGCATAAGCTCTTATGAATGGGGTAATCCCAGTATTAGACACAGACAGTCAATGAGATGAAAAACAAAACAATAGTATAGAAAGAAAAAGTTGCGCAACATATCCTCTAGACAAGGATCAAGATCGACCCAGGGTTGCACCATGCAACAAAAACAAATACATTTACTAGATATATAATTGAATTACGATATTATTACTGATGTCAGTCAGCTGAGCTGAGCTGTGAGTCACTTGAGTCTGAGTCTGACGTATCATGACTGACATGATGACATGACACTAATTGAACGATCAAATTAGTCATTGAATTATTGTTAATTGTTGTTCGATTACGTAGCTTACCTTGGCATACATCAAATGTACTTTGCAGAGAAAAGACACTGGATATATATTCAAGGACTGCGTAGATGATTGATATATATTTTCTTGATTTTAAAGGCAGTTCTATAGCTGCTTCTATAAGTTCTAGCTTGCTACACGTTCGCCGGTTATAATCTCGAATGTTCGCGAATCAGGATTGCGAAATACTGGTAAGCGCGTGATCATGACAAGGGGAAAGTCCCTAAATTTAGTCTAAATTTCAGACGTATAGCATATATGTCAGCTCAACCTATCACGAAGAGAGCTACTCTACAACTACGATGCTGATGATGGGGATAATGATAATGATTATGAAGATATCAGTGGCGGATCCAGGGGGGCACAGGGGGCACGTGCCCCCCCCCCCCGGCCCAAAAAAAAAGAAAGGAGAAAAAGGAGGGGGAAAGAAAAAGGAGAGGAAAAAGAAAAAAAGGGAAGAGAGAAAGAAGAAGAAAAGAGGGAGGAAAGAAAGGGGGAGAGGAGAAAAAGGAGGGGAAAGGGAAAGAGAGAGGAGAGAAAAGGCGGAAAAAGAAGAAAGGCGGAAAGACGGAGGAGAGAAAAGGGGGAAAAGGAGAATAATGAGAAGGGAAAAGAAAGAAATGGGGATGATATTATAAGAAGTTTTTTTTTTTTTTTACCGGGTAAGGGACGGGGGGGGGGGGGGGGGGCGGGCATGCAATTTTAAGTCGAACATGACTAATACCAAAGATTTTATCTCCTTTATAACTTCTAACTTCTAACTTCTAACTTAGTCTTGAATTAATTTTCCGATATACCTATTCTAAGTGCTCTTTCAGCATGCAGATTGTCCCTGCCATTAATCCTGCCACAGTTGCTGGTTTCATTATTGTCATATTATTTTCTGTCATCCCTGTGGCCGCGAAGTTTCTATCCGTTTCGCAAGCACCTTTTTTCTATCGCCTACATGCAATGCTTATTGCTTCCAGTTTGCAAAAGATCCCAGTGGCGGATCTGTGGGGGAATGGGGGAGGGGTTAGGGCAGTGGCGGATCCAGGGGGCCCGGGGGGCCCGGCCCCCCCCCCCCTTGAGAAAAAAAATCATGTAAAATCACGTGATTTTTACCTTTTTTGGGGGTTGGGCCCCCCCCCCCCCTGGCGCTCAAGAGGGGGGGGGGGTGCAAATTGAAAAAATTTTGAGGATCAAAAAAAAAAAAATTGTGCTCCAATTAGTTAAAATGTGATGTGAATAGAAAAACGCCATCATGTGTCCAGACCCACACAGTATCCGCATCGTCATGGGTCAAACCCCCCCTTAAACTGTTACTTGATTTAAAAAGACGTTATCGTGCACTGCTTTTTATGGTCTCCATTGTGTTAGTAGATGCCACGAAAACATCAATTACGAAGGTTCAAAATAGCAACAACAAAAATCGCATCGCCGCTATCCGGCTCGGACTTCGCGGCTCGTGGACGATGTTCCGCATCGTCATTGGGTAGAACCCCCCCCCCCCCCTTAAACTAGCTTATGAGATTTAAAAAGACGTTATCATGCACTGCTTTTTATGGTCTCCATTGTTTTAGTATAAAGTTGCCAGGAAAACATCACTTACGGCCCCCCCCCCCCACTCAGTGTTATTTAGGGTACGCATATGCTTGTTTCCTCTTTTTGAAAGCACCCCCTATCTGCCAACAGTGGCGTACCTGGGGTACTCCGTCAGGGGGGGCAAGCGACCGAAACAAACAAAAAAGGCGATGCTAATTTTCACTTCTGGCGAGCGAGCGAGCGAGCAAAAAAAATCTTTAAGTAACGTTTGGTATATAAACTGGTATTGTTGCAAGTTGGGGGTGGGAACATTTACTTGTTAGCGACGTTAATTTCATTTTTTTGCAAACTAGTGTAGCGAGCAAGAAAAAAATCACTTCTTTTTTAATAATTGCCACTTAAACTTGGTTCAATTGTCCCATGCAGGGCGCGGGAACAATATTGTGTTTAGGGTGATTTTATACCCATTTTAGCTAGCGAGCGAAAATACATCTTTCTCTCAATGAATTGCTATATAAAATTTGTTTCATTGTTGCAGGTAGGGGGCGGGCACAATCGTGTTTAAGGCAATGTCAATCCCATTTTGGCGGGCAGGCAACCCCCTACATTTCTCTTTTTAATGATATTGTAGCAGGTTAGTGGTGGGCACATAATTCCACGAGCTAGCGAGCGTAGCGAGCGAAAAAAAAAATCACTTTTCTTTTATAGGGAAAATATGGTACATAAAACTTGGGTTCATTGTTCCATGTCAGGGACGTGATTATTAAAAGCGGTGTTAATTCTATTTTGGCGAGCGAGCGTAGCGAGCGAGCAAAAAAAAATCACTTCTCTTTATAGGGAAAATATGGTATATAAACTTGGTTTAATTGTTCCATGTCAGGGACGTGATTATTAAAAGCGGTGTTATTTCTATTTTGGCGAGCGAGCGTAGCGAGCGAACAAACTTTTTGTAATGATAATTGGTTCATAAATTTCAGATTTTTTTGTTGCAGGGAAGGGCTTACACAATCATGTCTAAGGTGATGTTAATTCCGTTTTGGCGAGCACGAGCACACCAAAACTTCTTTGAATAACATTTCGTTCATAATTATTAACTGGTTGTTGCAGGTTGGGGCGGGCACGTTAGCGGTGTCAATTACATTTTGGCGAGCGAGCATAGCGAGCAAGCAAAAAAAAATAAATTCTCTTTTAATAGAAATTAATAAATAACCTTGTTTTTATTGGTGCAGGTCAGGATGGACGCAATCGCGTTTAATGCGATTCAATTCCTTTTTGGCGAGAGGGCGAAAAAACTCTTCCATTTTTAATGATATTGTTGCAGGTCAAGGGCGGGCACAATTGTTTCCAAAGCAATGTCTATTCATTTTATTCGCGAGCGAGTGTAGCGAGCAAGAAAAATGAATTAGTCTCTTTTAGTAACATTTGGTACATATATTGTGTGTTATTGTTGCCATGGTTGCAGGTCGGGGCCCGTCGGGGCAGGCACAATTGTATTCTAGGTAATACTAATCCTTTTCTTTTTTCAGGGGGACGAGGAAGTGAAAACATTTAATACAAAATAGGCTAGCAAGCAGTTCGCGCCAGCGAAGAGTTTCAAATTTGTTATATCACTTATATTTTCCTATTTTCATTTGTTTTAATTTTTCAGGGCCGTATGCGGAATATTTTTCTGATGGGGGAAGGGGGAAAGATGCGTTAAAAGTTTTCGAAGAATCTCAAAAGCAAAAGGAGTGAAGGGAGTTCGAGCGACCGAACTGGTCATGAGGGTACTTTTGCATTTTCAAAAGTAGAATTGAAGGATTTGGTATAGGCCTACACTACATTTTCAGGAAAAAAACTGTACGATTTCAAAATATCTGGGGTCAACTGCCCCCCCCCCCTGGTGCTTACGGCCATGTTCTTTATTTTTTTTCCCCATTTTCATTCCTTTCCTTTTCTTTTCCCCTTTTCTTCCTTTTCTCTTCTTCTTTCTTTTTTCTTTCCTTTTTTTCCTTTTTTCTCTTTCTTTCCTTTTTTTCTTTCCTTTTCCTTTTTTCTTTTTCTTTCCTTTCCCTTTCTTTTCTTTTCTTTCCCCTTTTTCTTTTTTTCCCCTGGAGCCCGTCAGGGGGGGCACTCTGCCCCCCCTGCCCCCCCATAGGTACGCCAGTGACTGCCAACATTTCCGAACCCCCTTTCGCGGGCTTTTCCTGCCTTGGAGCTAGACCCCCCTAAATCAGGAAAAATGCTCAATGTTCCCCCCTAAATTTGGAATAATTTCTCAGGAGTCCAAAGAAATGAGAGTAAAAACGAAAAAACACACCCTTTTTAAAGAAATCTCCGGGTGAAAAGTCAAATTCTCGGGCCGGACTTTGTCGCACGAAAAGTACCCCTTTACCGGACATTTTGGCAACACGCATGCGGTCATTTCGACCTCAAACCTCTACGCGGCTCGGACTTTGAGACTCGTGGACGATGCTCCTCGTCGTCATTGGGTCGAACCCCCCTCAAACTGTTACTTGATTTAAAAAGACGTTATCATGAACTGCTGTTTATATGGTCTCCATTGTGTTAGTAGATACCAGGAAAATATCATTTACGGGGGTTCAAAATAGCCCCCCCCAAAAAAAAAAAAAAAAAAAAAAAAATCGCCTCGCCGCTACGCGGCTCGGACTTCGCGGCTCGTGGACGATGCTCCGCATCGTCATGGGTCGAACCCCCTAAACTGTTACTTGATTAAAAAAGACGTTATCATGCACTGCTTTTTATGGTCTCCATTAGATGCCAGGAAAACTTCACTTACGGGGGTTAAAATAGCAACAACTACAAAAAAAAATCGCCTCGCCGCTTCGCGGCTCGTGGACGATGTTCCGTGTCGTCATTGGGTCAACCCCCCCCCCCTTAGCAAAAAGCCAGATCCCATCATCCGCCCCTGGATCCCTACTCTTTGAGGGGGTAGGAGAAAGCAAGAAGTGCCTGAAAATGCACCTAATGTGGTTCTAAAATTGCAAATGCTTCCTACTCAGGGAGGGGGTTCTGACCCCCTCCCAGACCCACCCCGCTTGGTCGCTCCGCTCCCTCGCCGCTGGCGCCTTGCTCCATCGTTTTTCATATATTTCACCCCATGCGATTTTGTGCCCCCCGGTAAGAAATTCCTGGATCCGCCACTGGATATGATGATCGGGATACAATGATGATGATGATGATGATTATGATGATGATGATGGTAATTATACTAATATTAATAATAGTAATAATAATAATAATGGCAATAACTATAATATATAATAACAATACTATTAATAATAACTAACAAAAACAAAAACAATGATAATAATGACAATAAAATTATGAATATAACAATATATCAATGATGAAGGTAGTATGTGATTTTTGCACTAGTGATGTATATCTATAGGTAAACATGGTAGGCTCATGATACATGACGGCACATGCTTGTACAGTTTTGTAGCAATATTCGGATCATTTTTCATAGAGGAAAAGAGGTAAATCACATGTACAGACTGATGTACTAAGCCCAAATAACAACAAATACGTGTTTCTCGTCCCCGCCCGCGCTGATTCTTGATGCCGCTTCAAAATCTTTATTATTTTTTTTTTTTTTTAAATAGATAGAAATCAGACTTATAATTGAAGTCAGCGTTACATCTGGGCATTCGATCGGATTCTAATGTGAATGAAATCAGTTAAATTATAAAAC